AGACATAAGACGTTTTCGATTGCCAATGATCTGATTATATAATGGTTTTACTCCGGAAAGGCGACCGATCAACAAAACGCTTATGCCTCTGTGTAATCTGTGCTATATAGTATACATGGATTTGGCCAAAATCCAATCAACTTTTAAAAAAGACACCATTTTCACCGTACGCTATGTAACATGGAAAACTTGGACGAATCTATATAAACAGGGATTGCGGAAACTAATGCAAGTGTACGTCAATGTCGATCAATTATTTCTATAGAATGTACTTAAGAAAGTTTCTGCAGTCGCATTAAAAAGAAGACATTTCTCGGATTTTGTACAAGGCTTTGAAAACACATAGGCAATGACTTATTTCTATAAGGCTAATGCAAAGTGTCCACGAAAGCAATTTTATAAGTATAGCGATACCGTCTGAGCGCTTAGATGCAAAGGTATAAGGATTTTGTACAAAATGTGTTATTGAGAAGCTTTTTGCGGGTCTGCCTAATTTGGCTAAACTTGATCCTGGCTATAATCAGATAACCGATACGGTTACGCTTTCCGCGATTTCGTACATATACGTCACTTTCTCTAATTGCGTGCAAGAGCGAAAGTAGCATCAAATATTTTTGCTCATCATCTAATATAAGTATTTTGAAAAAGCTTCAAACACTTTAGTCATGTATATGAGGTTCTGCAGATTTTAAATTTACCCGCAGATATTAGCATATATTTTCCCGCTCTTGAAGAATTCTGGACGTACCTCCCATTTTTGCACGTATACGCAGTCTTGGCGGGGAAAGAGTTTTATAAATTAATTGGTTTGAGTTATAATGAAAAAGGAAGAAAGAAATGAAGAGAATATGTAAAAAGTGTCTGTGTTTGGCAATAAGATAAAAGCGATAAGTAAACAGCGTGCGAAAAAACGATTTCTTTTAATTAAATACAGACACATACACACGTCGATGCGAATTATTGTCAAGTAATTTTGTAAAACGATTACAACTCGGAATCCCTTTCAACTAAGGACACCTAAGTATGATGCTTTAAATTGACTAATTGAAGGAAGAATGGAAAAACAATTGCAAAACAAAATTCCTTTTACTGATCTGAGGCGTATTCTAACTGCACATAAAGCCCAAGACAGCCTACGGATTATTGAAACACTTTAGAGATACTTTAAAGAAAAGTCAAACGAATTAAGTTGCCTTGGAAATCAGTCTAAAAGGAAAGAGGGGAATTTCTTTGACGGAAGGATGTTGCATCATACGGACGATTGAGAATTTTAAAAGAAAATGACATAATTCAAATACAAAATTCAAGTCGCTATGAGTGCATACATGCGTCACTGTTGAATCCATTCACCGCTTCTTACACAATGTATATTAGGTTCGTGAGGACTTGTGCAGCGTCTAGAAACTAATCTATCCGGAATGGTTTTCCGTATCCATTTAAGTGTCTCTATCTATCCATCTGTCTAATGTACATTTATGCGTTCAACATCAAGTATGCATTACAATGTGTGTGGGTCCTATGATGGACTCTCCGTACGGAAGCGCATCATTTTTACAAGCATTTCGCGTATAAGTGGTTATCAGAAAAAAAAGTATAATATTTTCCTGGAAATTTTGGGAAAAGTGCACTCAAAGGAATGTGAAAAACTTACATAAGATGGGAGGGGCCACTTTATGAATGCCTTCTATATAAACACTCTTATGTCGTCCAATAGTTTGCATTTTGTGAGGAAAATTGGCCCACACTATATATGCTATAGACTTAGGTCATGCCATAAATTAATATAAAGTGTGTTCATGGAAAGGGTGACTTTTCAATGTGTGTGGTCTACGTAAGTCGATTTCTGAATTTTTTAAATATTAAGGTTTTGCCCACTATGATCCACAATTCTAATGACGTGCATTATGAGTTCTTGCTCGAAGTTCATGTGGCCAATATGGGAACATTACCTTGACGTGTTATGCGCCGTTTGCGTGAAGCAACATGAAAAAAGCGCTTGTGATTGTGAAACAATCAGCCATGGATATTGCACCACGATAACGCGCCAGCTCACGTCATTGCATGTTTGTAATTTTTGGCGAAAAACAGCGCCGTGATGATGTCTCCGGCACCATGCTCACCGGCCCCTTGGGACTTTTTGCGTTTCCCAAAACTGAAAAGACCCGTGAAAGGACCGAGTTTCGTCACAATTAATATCATACCAAAAAAGCATGTATCAGAAGTGCTTCGAGGATTGGATTGCACTGTCACAAGCTGATTATGTCTAACAGAGATTGCTTTCACTTTGGAGGAGACAATAAATAAATATTTTTTGGAAAAAATTAAAAGTCATGTCTTTTTTTGAACACGCCTCGTACACTACTTAAGTTTCCGTTTTCTATTCGAAACTTTTTGAAAGTGGGAGATTTCTAATAATTGATAATAGATAGACGAACCCGGGTTAAGAATTTTGTAATGACAGATTGTACATGTAATCTGGCATTAAGACTTAACTGGAGTTGTGGGTATAAAAGTGTTGAGATTAATAATAGAGAGAACGTTAGTGAGTACAAATTCTATGAACGGGGACACAGCATTCATATGTGAGGTGGATGAAAACACAATAGAGCGCAGTCATGTATAAAGCCTGCATATTAAAGATATTATTGATTTCAATTAGATATAATTCGCGTATATGTGGAAAAAATTGGGGATAAAATATTTTTAACTCTTTCTTATATCCTTCAAATATGGGTAGACCTAAATATATCACATATCGTAAATCGTATGTATGTCTACAATACGAACTATGACTCTTTTTGGAAAAGCGATTGGAAGAGTGAGTGTAAACTTTATTAAAACTTTTGCCTCCAGTAAAGCATTAGCTCCTTCTTCTTAGCGAATTAAGTTTAGCAGAAGCAGGAGATCACTTTTGCATTGAAAACTTGAAGAAAAGAGAGCAAAACTTTTGAAACTAAGTTCACGATAGTTATTTTCCTTTTTTAGGTCGTGTTTAACAATCTCCAGCAAAAAGTTAAAAAAAAAATTGATTATTTTAACTTTTAAAATTATAAATTCTATGCGACTAAGCAGCCTTGAATAGCATCTTTCCAATAGTAGTGTAAAGAGAAAAGATTCTATTGGTTGGACTAAGTGAAAGAACGTTAATTTCAGCAAACACTGATAAAATTGGTCTAAAGCCAAAATGCATTTATGCTCAAAAAGGCCGACCCTTATAGGCTTTGTTATTCTGATTGATAATCCAGTTTGTAAAAATCCAAGTTGCCCCGGATTTGATATAATGAATGATGTACATCTTTACTGATATCTTAATAATGTCTTCGTATATCTCTAATTTCCTTACTCCCGGCCTATCGATAAAAACTCACAAAACCATAAAATTCGCATTCCGAGGCCTTTTAATATATGCAAAATAGTCCTGGTTCCTTTGCGAGGATCTTGGTTCTTACGAATAGTTGCGCAAAACAAGCGAAATATTTATTTATCTAAAAGAAAAACTTTCTAGAATCACTGAGGCGAGTATTAAGGAGGAAATTTTAGTTTGGCTCTCAAATCACCCAGCTTCGCAAAGACATCAGATGTGGTTTTATATACCGAGATGATGCGAATAGTGCCTAGAATTCTAAGGTGATAAAAATGGCGACTACGATTTTTTGAGAATGGTGGCAACAAATTCTCATGAAAAACAATAGAGCGGCTAAATACAATGAGCTTGTTACGTATTTAGAAGTTGCGTTCTAATATGTCACTGAAAGCGTATTTGCTATATCAAGAGTGGTCTGTGGTGCATTAAGTCACGAGCGCGGGGAGTGCTTTACTAAGAAGTCTTCGATATCGATAAAAGACATCAGGAGAAATGGACTTATGACATGTTGGCAGACAACTCCTAGATAATAAAACGCGATGCACCAGGAATGAACTATGAGAAGTGTGCAAAAAAATGTACAAAGAAATTAATTTGAATAAAAACGCGACGAAATATTCCTGCTTACAACATTGAAGATAATAGATAATAACTAACGAAAGAGAAATGTTTAAAGTTACAACATTGCCTTAGCAAGAATTTCCCATATACTCAGGTTAAGCAGAATGTAAAAGAGCTGCCTAAGTAAAAGATAGAGGAAGAAAGTTGAAAATTGTAAGACTTTAACGTTTGAAGATGGGATACAACTACGTGGGCTCCATTTTGTAATCTTTCAAGAGTTCAAAGGTATTTAATCAGAAATGTTCACAATTGGCTCTTTACTCTTCTAATGCGATGTCGCCAAGAAACTCTTATCCTTAGGAGGGCATCAGGTTATGTACCTATCAAACGGTATTGGGCAAATTTAGATTTTAAAGCTTGCTTTTGCAGGTTTCTCAATGAAAATGCTTAATTTAAAGCTTCAAGTTATTTACCAATATCAACTGCCGTGGAAATCAATTTCCAAAAATTTACGGACAGTAACTCTCGTGCATATTTATCTTACGTTCGAAATGGATTATCTCCCTAGAATGCAAATTTGATGTTCCTTAGAAGGTAAACGTTGATTAACCCAAAGATAACTTTAGAATTTACATACGATAAAATATATATAATGCATCACTCTGAGGTATAAGTCAACAACTGCCAGAAGGCTAGTGATTTGACTTCCTTTGCAATTTGTTAAGGATGGAACTCTAAATTTTATGAAAGGTAATAAAATGGACTGGCTTTGATGTATGGATATAAATCGTACATCGTTTCAGAATATACAGCTGATTAAAAATATTTCGACTTTATCAGCTATTTACAACCGCATTAAGAAAGTGAATAGTCTTGCAAGGTCTGCCGGCGACAGATGCTTTAAGTTAAATGCTACTAAGTTAAATAAAAAAAAAAAAACTAAGAAAAAAAAGTTTGATTCCCGTTGCTTAATACATCATTATAAGCCCATAAGAATATGGCCCTGTATGTGTCTGTAGGTGTCCGTGTGAACAACCGAAAAAAAAGGAAAAAAAATGTACATTACATTACTCACTCAAACTCCTTTCGGATGGTTCACGGCTTGAGGCATTACCGCCTCTTGCCATTATCGCTGCTATTGAGAAATCCGTGGCGCCGCCGATATAAGAACCGTTATGATAATTGATAAATTGATTACTATACACGTTATTACTAGTGATTGTTGCTTCGGTATTTGTCGCGTATGTTGCTCTCGCCGTTGTTAGCAGCAAAGAGTGATGTTTTTTAAGTAAATCAGTTACTTTCGTCGGCGATGCTAAGGACAAGGCTGCAGATGTTGAGTTCGCCGTCTCTGCAGATGTATTGAAATTTAATAAATCTACGTAGTTGTTGTTATTATGAAATATTTCCTTATGCTGTTGCAAAGCGTTATTCACTGACACGTGTTGTTTCGTTTGCTTCGATTGGGCGTAGTTGTTTAAAAGCATTTTTTATAGAATTTTTATTACGAAAAAAGATTTTTTTTTTTTTTTCTTTGTTTTACGCACAAATCAAACTCACAACGCGAAGCACTTTTACAGAAGGTAATGTAAGATACGGCCCCCGAAAGTTACATTCATTTATTTATTTTTTATTAATTATTTTTTTGTTTTTTTTTGTTTTTTTGATTGTTATTATTATTGTTTTAAGTAACGTAACTGTAAACATTTCTAATGAAGTATTTAAGCGTTCAGACACGACAACCGTTCTATTGTTGCGTTGACCAACGAATGACGATACTAAGCGGCGGCAGTTAACAAATTGTATCAGGTGGCGCTTGTTTGTTTGCCAGAAACTAAACGCGCAGTATTGGTATTGGATTGTTTTGAGGGAGTCCGAGTATGGAATGTGCGCAGAGGTTTACATGATATACGCATCGTCAACTGTATTGTATTAAGCAACGGTTAGACAATCGGTAACAGCAACAAGGCCACTCAGCACCAGACAACTAGTGATCTAGTGAAGTGAACATATGATTGAAAGACATTGAACGAGAGAAGTTTCTTCTTTGTTGGCATAATCGAATCGACATCGACAATTGCTTGCCTGACATTCACACTCAATGTGCCGTTCGCCAAACAACAACAAAAAAAATAAAGAAAAAATTAAAAAAAAACATGCATCCATTCGTCTTTCAACACATTTTCATGGTAAACGTAATACTGGATAGAGGGTGGGCTTTAAGGGGATCGGGAGCGTACGGGGCGACACACAAACCGCATTAACACAAGCGAACCACGAATAAATGAACGTTAGCAAGAATTGAGTTTCGCATCAACAAAGCAGCACAGAACCATAACAATAAGAGACACTTAAGCGTTAATTTACGGAAAAACTCAAAACACAAGTGAAAATGTGCAACACTGAAAAACGCCGTAGACGATAACGACAACGACAACGACAACGACAATGTTAACAACGACGACCAGCAGTATGAGGCTAAAGTTTTATACAATACTTTGACTGGGAGCCAATAAGGCCGGGCTGAATATTGTTGTTGATATTATTGTTGGTGTGTTGTTACTCTTATTCAAACACTAAGGCACTTAAAAACTACACGTAACGACAGAGTTTGCCGTCGATTGAATTGTTTTGTTTGTGAGCCCGCGTTTAAAAAACCGCACAAAGCACTGTTATAAGATTGGAGCACAAATAGAGCGCTTAGTCAAATGCAAAAATGGTTCTGGCAGTCAGCCATCAGAGTTCAGTCAGAGTGAGGCGCAAGGTGAGCAAAATATATATATATATATATATATATATATATATATAGAAAAAGAGAACGCGCATAAACAATAGAGGCAATGGCAACGTGCGGAAGCTCAAGCTTATATTGCAGGTCCCCAAAAGCATTTATTGCTTCATTCATTCATATTCGCTTTATATGCTATCAAAGCACACGCACACACGCGCACACGCACACACGCACACATACACGCGCGCGCTTGCACTTCTACACGAAAGCACTTGAATTACATTTACTGTGTGCTTGTACGTGTTTGCGTTTGAATAGCAGTCGTAAACAACAATCATCACGACACGACGAAGACGACTATGATATGATTAAGGTTTACAGAGAGATGCAAAACCATTGATTATGGCATTGTTGGCGAATGATGTACGATTTCTTATAACATACACATTCACCTATAGCTTGCTTGATACATACTTAATGCTCTGGCATGAGATACAAAACTAAATAAATATTAGCAAGAAAAGCAAAAGGAAACAGAAACCTAGAATTATATAGTAAATCAGAGAAAAAAAATACACCCAAACTCTTTAAAATCTATATGAATAAAAGAGATAAACAGATATCTTTTGGGAATTGAGTGCTTTTCCAATTGTTAGTCAGTCAAACTAAATAATATGAGAAAGAGTATGCGAATGCATATGTACGTATATGTACATGCATTTTTTCTTTCTATTTTTCTCTCTCCGCACTCAGAGAATATTCTCTGCATATGCTTTGAGTGTTTTTGATGGGGGTTTCGCTTCCAATTTGAAAATTAAAAATGTCGGTTTTGCCGACAAATGTTGCCTTAACGTGTCTTGCTTAACTAGTTGTCTCTTTTCTGCTTTTGCATTCAGGCAATCAGCTAAGAAAAATAAGAAAGAGAACTGGTTTAGCTTCTCATAAATTCGTCATTTTGTTTTCTTGTTGACAGTTAAATGCTTTCTTACCTCTGCTTATTTTATATCCTTTCAAGATGTTATTGCTGTTTAAAGTTGCTGGGGATATTGATAATGGCTAGTTGGCTAGTAAAGGTGTGCGAATAGAGAAGAGCATATTTGTTTCATTTAGCAATATATGTGCACAAATCCGATTCCACCTCATTCCTCATATGTTGAGAACGAATGACTGAGAGCTAGAAGAGAGTTCCGTTTTTCTTCTTTTGTTTTAAAAGAGTTTTGAAAACATTTAAGAACAAAAAAAAAAGGATACAATTCATGTTTAACTATAATAATCTGATAAGTGTTATAGCAAATAATTATAGGAAAACAACAAATGCAAAATTAAATATATAATAAAGTATAACGTATTTACACAAAGTCAAGCGAAAATTTTTTAAACACTATTCCAAAAGGCAATGAAGATCTGATTAAGATATAGTAAATGGTTTTTTTTCTTTTGACTTAAAAAACAATTACTTGCAAATTATGGGAATTGTGAAGAAACTGAAATTGCAGCAACAGTTTGTAAATTTATTTAAGCACTGATTGAACTGAAAGATCCTCAAGGTACTTTTTGAATAGACATTTCATGGTATAAAAGTGATGTCTAGCTATGTCACTTCATAGAAACTCAGCACGTCTCAACCTCTTCTTGGAGCAAAAGTGTGACTGCAATCGAAATCACAAAATAACGTGATATTTAAATAACAAAGGATATGAGAGAAAATTGCAATCATTTAATTCCCTGGCTATACTGATTTTCTTTTGATCATGGAGTTGTTCTACCATCTGAAACGTTCTGTATACCTTCGGTAAAGAAAAATCCATAGATTATTAAGTATTATTAGAATGAATATTGGCGACCCGTTTATCTCTGCAAGCCTAATCGCAAGAAGGATATTGCTTAAAAATTGCTTGTGGGCTTTTGGCTGTAAATATATTTAAAACAGCCCGGGCATGCAACTGAAAATAGGTTTGCAAAAAGCCCGTTGATCCATACTTCTACATTTTTCTTCAAGCGTATAGAAATGCTGATTAATTAGATTCTTGTGCATTGATCGCAATGAAGGACAATCTAAAGGGCTGTTGCATAATCAGCTTTGGAAAGGCAAACTACTGCATTGAGCTAAAAAAAGGTGCATCGAGTTATAAAACTATATTTTCACTTAGAAAAATGTTCAGGAAGCTGTACAATGATGTGTCGTTGTATCGACACTTGTTTGTATCCGCCTTCTAGTACATTGTGGACATTTCCTCTGGACTTACTGAGTATTGCTGATGTAGAAGAGGGGAAGAATTTTATAGTTTTTGCTGAAAACGATTTGTTACTGGCACATATCCTACCTTACACTAGAAAATTGCAGTAAACGAAAAAAACATATATAAAAAAAAATTACAATTATAGAGAGTATATTAAATGAATATTAATGCTGATGTGGTTTTTCTGGCATATATTTTAGGAAACTGATGAGAAAAGGTGGTTAGGAATAAGTTACTCTTTGGATATTTTACATTAATAGTGTGTTATCCGTGAGCAACGATGCCCTATGTAGTACTGCAATTATGGGATACAAAACTTGCTGCTCCAGAATTTGTTACGCGTACTATTTATTGATGTTAGTGCAGCGAAACAAAGTAAAAGCAAAATACTGTTGTTTTCCTTTACGAGCACTTTGGTTTCCTAAAGAGAGAGCATTTTCGAGATTCTTTCTTATTTTAAGCTTTGCTTTGTTATTGCATAAAAATAACGGAATAAACTGGTTGCTGTAAGGACTTCAATATGTTCGTATATGTGGGGGAACATATACATATATTAATGCTGAAGGATTTTTATTTTATTTTTAAATATTCCATGCATGAATGTGTATACAGCCCTCCATATGTCAAATAAACATATTTTATTGTAGTGTTCCCTTCTGCTGCTCGATTTTTTTTTTTTTTTTTTTTTTTGTTTCTGTGCAAAACACACAAATAACGTCGAAGAGAAACAGCCTTCATTTGCATAGACAATCACATAAACTGTCAATGCGACATAACAAATTTATTATATATCCCCCTGCAAACACCATCACCGCCATGACAACAATGCCGCGTACACTCTCAATCATACGCACATACACTCGCGCACTCCCGTCCCATTAATTCAATCTAGTGACAATGTCATCCGCTTGCTCTCGAAACCTGTTTGTATTTACAGAGAGAGAGAGAGAACAAAAGCAACAACAACACAATGGCAGAAAAAAAGAAAACATCAAGAACGTTATTATTTACATATACGTTTACTGTTGTCACATTAAATATGTATGTAATGTGAACATAAATGTGCGAGCTGTGTGTGTTTGTGTACTTGAATACATGTTACACACATATAAAGCATATTTTTCCAATGTTTGCGATTTTTTGTCGTTATAAATTCAATTAAATTGAAAGTAGAAAAAAAAATTTTGTTGAGAAAAAAATAAAAAAATAAATAAAAAAGAGAAACGAACACAACTGTGGCTCAATTGGCAAAAAGGAAAGAAAAACAAAAGACAGATACAATAACAAAATGATTAAGGCGTGTATGCAACCACAGACATTAATATCAACACCATTACAAGAGCGACTTAACTACCGTAGCCATCATTTCCTACAGGGTATATAGCATACTTTACCTTTGCTGTCACAACTGCCACCATTACCATAGCCTTATATAAATGAGGAAGGAGTGGCGGAAATTGTACTCATGCTCTTATATCTATATATATATATATATATTGATGTATTTATGAATGTGTACAAGTTTATGTATATCCTGCACCTTTGTTTTTTTATTTTTTTATTCATTTTTTGTTCCTTATTTCATCGTATTTCAATCCAGTACCATGGAAATGAAATGAAGCGAATACAATAATTCTGCTGATTTTTTTTCGTTTTTGTCATTTTCGGCAACAGCATATTACAAGAACAGCAACAATAAAGCGTTAAACAGCAAAAAAGAAACCTATAAGCGGTGTTGTTACAATGGCGTGTGAAAACAACATAATTAAAAAAAAAAAAGAAAATTTAAATATGATAGCTAATGAGTGGATGAAAAGTTACATAGGCTTCAGGACACATTTGGAGCAACTACAGCCTATACTTTAGTAAGGATTTTGTCAAAATTTAATCTTGTAAAAGTTTCAACTGAGTTCTTAGAAACGATATTTTTTTCAAAAATATTTTATCAAAACTTCAACGCGATACTTCCATAGGCCAATGGTAACTTTGTGGTCATCTTTATATATAAACTTTAGTTTATGAGAAAATGATTTTCTATTTTCCTTATTTTTCCAAACTGATCAGTAACTAACCGTCGCTACGAAAAGTATAAAAACGTAAAGCATATTAAAACCATATTAGTATGTAGTGCCCCTGCTACGATTTTTCCAGTTTATCACTTGTATGTAGATGCATAATAATAGATTTGATCCTTTGCTAAATACATAAAATTTATTGTTTAGCCCATTGGAATGTATAGTTCTTGAAGGTCCTCCTACTGTCTACATAGCAAACGGTAGTAACGCTATGCCATCAATTCAATATCAAATAAATATTTTGCAATGAATTAAGCCCGTCCTGAGAGAAATTTAAGATTTAGATATGAACTATAAAACAGATCGGGACTCGAATAAAGTTACCTTTTAAAATAGCGAATATATTTAATTATATTTATATTTAATAAATAAATCGGGGTTTTTTATGCTTCCGCTGTACGGCTGCATTGGTTTGTATGGCGAGTTTGGCTGCCGTAGTAAGTCAATAAGCCCATGGTCCATGATCCGTAGATATTCCGACTATTCTATATGATTTTTAGGTGGCAACAACCTTCAATGGAATGGGTCTAAATTTCTTGATTTTCATTTCAATTTTACGAGTTTCATGTTAAAAACTGATTCAAACTAATTCTTTAACCCTAAATTTCCGCGAAACTCTACGATCAT